GAATGCAAGAATAAATCACCCAAACTCACACAATTACGGGCCCTTAATTGCGGAAACAATAAATGCATATAAATCATTCAAAACAAAAGAAATATGTTTTAATGTCAAATTGCAAAACTAGAAATATAAAACTCAAATCACATGGTACATCGATCTCCTAGCACAAGAAAATCTAGTCTAACATGATGGGAAATAAAGAAAAACAACAATTAAAACCAAGGAAGAATATCACCCAATTGATTCTTGAAGTGAAATCTTGAATCTTGAAGTGGATTGCCTTGTTTTTGCCTTGTTCTTCCCCTCCAAATCCTCCAAAATTGTGTTTTTGTGCCTCCAATTACGTTCTCCCCTTCTTCTGGACGTTCTTTTGTATTTAAATCGCGTGGAAATTATGTTACCAAAGGAGTTTCAATCGTATAAGGAAACTGCAAAACAACCCCCAGATTATACCTATGCGACTGCATAGGCATAACCTATGCTGTCACATAGAGTAAACAAAATTTGAGAAAAAGTTCTCGGGAGGATTCTATGCGACCACATAGAGTTTATACTATGCGACCGCATAGGCATACATTCTTTCCGCCGGACAGCTTTTAGTATTTTGGTCATAACTTTCTTGTCTGATCTCCAATTGAAGTGATTCAAAGTGCACTGAGAAGAAAACTCAAAGATATACATTTTTGATAGAAATAGACTTCCTCAAATTCTGATTTTTACTATGCTAAAAATAGATCTCAAGTAGATACTAAAAATCACGAGCATAGCTTTTTCGCCTGAAAGTTGATACTTGATAATATTTCGACACTATTTCACCTCGTGACTCCTTTTCTCATCTGATTGACTTCTAAAATTCTTGAATCTTCATTCCATTTCCCGTCTCATCTATGAATTATTTGCAACTTGGTCCCCGAACTTTCAGTTTAATTCATTTTAGTCCTTTTTCGGCTCTCTTCTCCTGAATTCCACTATTTCCATAGAAACACCTACATTGCATGAATTCAATGAGATTAAGTCACAATTCAATCATTTTGCTTGTATTTAAGTCATGTTTGTGATCTAAATAAGTGTGCAAAAATACACTTATCAAACCCCCCAAACTTGAACTATTGTTTGTCCTCAAATAAGATAGTGACTTAATTCTGAACAAACATGGCTTAACACCTTGCCTTGGCTCAGGATTGGACTAAGTAATTGATTTTATGAAAATTTATTATTGTAAAATGACATCAACCTTTACCTGTTAAATGCATACTTGACGTGTGTGTGTGTGTGTGTGAATTCATGCCAACATATCAAATTCATGATGAGTTTGAGTCCCGACCCTAAGTGGTCAAATGTATCCTTACTCACTCGAGAGATACACAACCCCCAAACTTATTCTTTTCACTCAATTATCCCCGAGTTATGTTTCTAAAATTTGGAGTTTTCATAGAGCTGTATTTCTCACCCTCTCGTAGTTTGGATCAATCTCACTATCACAAGTTTACATGTCAACCAGTGAAAGCTCTCCTAAGTTTTGATTGCTTCGACACTCAAGATTAAACTAGGCTACTTGCCTTGCCTCAAAGGTATAGTTTCTTCCACCAAATGTCCAAAGGGCTTTTCTTCATGTTTTTGTCTCTCTTTTGTTTTTCTCACTTTTCTCTGATTTTCTGAAATTATTTTTATTTTTTTTCTCATCATCTTCTCATTTGCTTTCTATATAACCCATGTAACGAGCTTTAGGCCGGTGACTCCCAAAAACCCATGTAACGAGCTTTAGGCTGGTGACTCCCAAACCAGTTGGCTTTAGGGCACCAGGTTTTTAAACCCTTACAGGCTTATTCACTCGAGTTATAAAGGCTCGATCAGATGACTTTTTATTAACCTCTTTCCCTCTTGCTTTCTTTATGACCCATGTATCGAGCTTTAGGCCGGTGACTCCCAGACTAGTTGACCTTAGGGCACCAGATTTTGAAATATCCTTATAGGCTTACTTGCTCGAGTCATAAGGGCATGAAAAGAAGTGTCTTATTCTCGCATATTAATTTTATACCCTTTGTTATTTTTCTGGACATTTAGTTTCCAAAACCAACCCCCAATTTGAGATTTTCACCTACTCTTCATCCCACTGGTCTAGGCAATCCACACAATAAAATTCATGCACGGAGCCCCCGCTCATCTCAATGCTCCCCTATAATAGCTCAATTATCACCAAACTGTATTAAGGTGGTTTACGGGTTAATTTAATAGAGGGTTATCATTCTTTTCCTACTTTAT